AGTATTTTTCATTTCATTCATTCATTTCATTTTATTTCATTTCATTTCATTTCATTAAAAACAAAATGTATATAAAAAAAAACCACTGAGGATGTTGGCTGACTTTTTACCAACAGGTGGCCACCTTAAAGATTTGCATCATCTCATACCAAATCCCCACAAAACAGACCTTCTCATCCAACTCTGAGGAGGCAAATGCCACAAAAGCCCTGAGCTACAGTCTTCCACTGGTACAACAAAAACAAAGAGGACAGGCTGGAGGTCTGAATTTCTCCTCCACATCAGACTTTGTGTTAGTGCATGAATCATTTAGTAAAGTCGAGCAATTACATCTAAATACATGCAATAAGCTCAATGCGATGTCAAAACATTACCCTCCCACCCAGCTCCACCCTACAAATGACATAATTTCCCTGACTCAAGCACCATCAAATGCTGGAACACGGTGGTAAAATGAACAAGTTCCCGGAGTGGCTTTGTGTTCAAATTATTCATTGTCTCATAAAAATTCCAACGAAAAGAAAAACAGCAGGGTGTACAAAATATGGTTGTTCACGGCATTACCTAATCCTACCTTAACCTTTTCTCTATTTGGCAAGCGGAGCAAAGCTGTAACACTGGCTTCGCTCTTGTTTTAGAGACACCACTTAGCGTTCGACCAGTAAGCAGTGAGCATGTCAAGCGTGAGAGCGGCATGTCAGTAGCGTGACAAGTGTGTTCAAATAAGGATGCTGAGACATCCGCATAATGGCCACTGTCAGTAAAACCATCCAGTTAGTAATAGTGTTAGCAACATTATTCTAACTATACACATACACACACACACACAACCGAGCGCTGTTTCTGTGGCAGTGTGTAAACTGGTGAGTGTGTTGCAGGTGAGGCGGCAGGGCGAGGCGGACGCAGAGCTCCAGTGCCCTGTCATTACGGCTGTGGGATCACCACCACCACAGAGGCAGCCAGGCCCCGACTTAGTCAGGGGTGGCATGGAGGGCACAGGGAGGGGTGGCAAGGTCCCGACACACACAGACGTAAAAAAAAAAAAAAGAGAAAGAAACAACCCTGTGTGAAAAGGGGAAAAAAAAATCCCAACGGTCCCTCAGGGGATGTGGGGTTAGACACAACATCTAAACTAACACAGACGCAGACCCGCAGATGAACCAGAAATACGCCAGTCACTGTAAACTCCTGCTACGAGCCCTGATGTCACTGACTGAAGGAACAATGATGCATGAAGAAGCTTTGAAGGAGGAAAACAGCAGGAGAATTTGATGAATGAACGAATGAAAAATATGCAAAACAAAAACACTGCAAATAGAACAAGTGCAGCCCAGATGTAGGGCTTAGACAGCCCGTTTTTGGCCACATGACTGGTCAATAAACTCAGCTGACCCTGCAGACCTAAAGTGGACTAACTTAAACACCAAAGTATGGACTGAGTAAACCGCAGCGGTACCAAGCCCAATGACTTATCACATTGGTGGCCAGAGTGGACTCCCAGGACAGGCCTGACCTCACCGGGGTAAAAATGGCAGCGACAGTCACTGCTAGATGGCCCGTGGCTGCCGGGGCTCAGACCGCTGCGGTGCTGAGCTGGGCCGAGCCGGGCAGCGGCTTCGCCTATTTAAAGCTTCCCCCTCGAAGGTTCCCGTCTGTGTAACTGTTTAAAAGGGCAGAGCAAGCTTCCTGCGCGAGGCGGGGGAGGGGAGGGGGGGGCACTTTATTTAGACGTCAACTTCCTGTTTGCACATGTGCCCGTTTCCCAGAAAAACTTCCATGTGCGGAGAGAGAAGTTTCCCAAGTCTAATTACATGTATGGCTCGGGGCCGTGACAGTGACCCAAATAGACGACGTCTCCCCCGACGGCTCGGGGTTAGACAGCACTCTGATCGTGTTTGTTGTTGCTGCTGCTGCTGCTGCTGCTGCTGCAAGGACTGTGAAGGTCTGGCTTATAATAGTAGAAACAAGACAAAGTTATGAAGCAATCATTTGGACTTAATTGCTTCATTGCTACTACACAACAACAAATGTCTCACCTGCACCAGTTTAAAGATGTTGGTCAGTGTGAAGTAGGAATGAATGATATGAAGTCCTGCTTCAGATTATTATTCATTCAAAACATGTGATGGAGAATTACTACATGAGA